TTGGAAAGAAGGACACAGGGAAAAGGTAGCCACAGGGAGGAAGTGAAGAAAGCTGTTACGTTGTAGGGATTGCAATCAGTGTCACAAAAGAAAACATGTATGAACTTGAATGGAAAACAAATTTGCTCTGTAAACTTTCACCCAAATCACAATAAAAAGTTTAAAAAAAAAGCCCCAGCCTCCCCCTCACAATGTGTGAGCATTCTCAGATGCAGCGGTGCTTGCAGAGGCGCTAGGAAAGTACAGACCCTTGAGATGTGCATTCGGTCAGCTCCTCAGCTCGCAAGCATCGTGTGAGCCATTCACTCAGTTTCCCTAACTGTATAAAGTGAAGCCAATGCAGCTCTGCCTGCTTCACAGAACTGTTGGGGGGGTGCTATGAGATAACACACAAAATTTGGCCCTCTATAAATATAAGATGTTTTTAGGAACTTAATAATGTTCCTCACCTCCCAGAGGAAATCCAATGGGAAAATGGAATTTTGTAGGATTAATAATTAAAAGTTTGAGATGTGAGGATTAAATGAGATACATCCTGTGGTAGTTAAGTTTGTGTGTCAGCTTGGCGGGGCCTGGTTGAGTGGCTGGGCAGCTGGATGTAGTATTCCCCATGATGAGACTGGTAATCCACTCCATGGTGAAATCCACTATGAGCAGCTGATTAGCTGCTCTAGGGATGTGGTCTGCTTCCAGTATATAAGGAGAAGCCTCGGGGAATGGTCTCTAGCTTGTGGCACACTTGAACCCTGCATGTAGCCGTGTCATTGCTCAGCAGCCTGCCTGCCATGCTCTGCTGACCTTGGCACTTTCATTGGACTTGAATTGCTGGCCCGCCATGTGGTTTGGTAACATCGGGACTGTACCTTTTTACTTGTCAACCTTGCATTTGTCAGCCTCAGCAGCCAGCAGCTGTCTGAGTGAAGAAACACCTCTAGCTCCAGTGGGCCAGGAGCAGGAGGCAGAGCTGCACCCCAAGGTTGAGGGGCTTTCACCCAGCCCCTAGAGCCTGGCACTTTGAACTTGGACTTAAAGCCTCCAAATTGTAAGAATAAACTCCTGTTTGTTAAGGCCATCCCATTTGTGGTATATTCTTGTCAGAACATACCCATTAAGGGAAAAAAAAAAAAAAAGATGCCACAAAGGCTGTGCTTCATCCTTAGGAATTCTACTTCTAGTAATGATAACACTACTAGTAATGGCAACAGCTAGCATTTATTGACCACTGTGGTAGGCAGAACAGTGTCCCCCAAAGCCATCCCCCTCATAATCCCCAGAACCTGTGGTTCCATTATTTTAATGGCAGAAGTGGTTTTGCAGGTGTGATTAAATTAAGGACTTGAGATGAGATTATCCTGAATTCTCTAGATGGGCCAGTATAGAGGGTCCTTATAAGAGGGACGAGGGACGCAGGAGGATCACAGTCAGAGAGCAATTGGAAGATGCTGCCCTGCTAGCTTTGAAAAGGGAGAATAGCACCACGAGCCAAGGAGTGCAGGCGGCCTCTAGAAGCTGGAACAGGCAAGGAAACAGATTCTCCCCTCCAGAGCGAGCACAGCCCTGCTGCACCTTGATGTTAGCATTTCTGACCTCCAGAAGTGTTAAGATGATACACTGCTGTTGTTTTAAGCCCTGGGTTTGTGGCGGTTTGTTACAGCAGCCACTGGAAGCTAATGCCAGCCCCTGCATGTGTAATCTCACTTAATCCCCACAGTAACTGTATGAGGGGGTGCTAGTATCGTCCTCATTTTGCAGATGAGGAAACTGAGACGTGGAGAAGTTAACTCTCCCTGGGCCAACACAGCTAACACATGACAGAAACAGGCTTTGAACCCCCAGCAGACTGGTTCCAGAGCCTACACCCTTAACCCCTACAACACTCTAAGGAGTGAAAGACTGGTGATGGGACTTAGGGCCACCTGGCTAGACAGCGAAGCCTCTGAAGGTGTTTGAGTCATCCCTGCCCCCCTCCTCCATCAAGGTGGAGACTGGGCTCAGCTCACAGCCAGACAGACATCACAATAAAGATGACCCTACACCCGCATAGCATCTTACAGCCTACAGTGGGCCTGCTGCACACGCAGCCTGGAAACTCCACTGCCAGACAGCATACCCTC